GTACAGGGGATCCACTACTGGAGTGCAGAGTCGCTGCTGGTGGGCTGCCTCAGCAGAAGAGAAGGACTCAGGTGACAACCTGTGTCCCTCCACCGTAAGGCCCAAATGTGGACCTCCATAGCCTCCCCACAGCCAGTGTTTTCTGGCAGGTCATAAAAGATAATTGTGTTGCCTGGGCTTTTTAAGGGTTAGCCAACGAGTGCTCCAGGGTGGCCGAGAGGACTTAATGTGCGTTTACCATGACACAGAGACAGTGAGACTATACCTAGCCACCCAGTAGACAGAAGATAAGACATCAATCTGGCCCACCTCTCCAATTTAGGGAAGAAGGAGAAGAAGGATGGAAGGAGAGGAGGGGCTACTGAGGAATGAGTGTTGCTTCCACCGTTTACTATGCTGCAGTTTGCGGCTGCACGCGCAATAACTATCCACTGAAGAAGTGTGTGTGTATGTGTGTGTACTGATACTTGTGTGTGTGCACGTGTTTCTGTGTGTGTGGCCCATGGCAGACCCAGACCCAACAATCTACAGGGAGTCGTTGCCCTGTAGCCCCAGCCCTGCTATAACTTCATTAGGTGTAGGTAATGGCACCGTGGTCCAGGAGCTCATAACATGGAGCCAGAGGCCCATCGGCTGCCCGCCAGCCCAGCCCACACAGATACTGCACTGGTATGCCTCCGTCTAAGCTTTGATTATACGGGCAGAATTATCATTTAGTGAGAAGCCGGCGTAACTCAATATGATACAGTGCTTGGAACTTGAAGTGAGTTGAATTTTTTGAACAACACAGGAATTAAATAAGTGGATTAATTCTCACTGCACATATAGAAGTCTGCTGGGCAACGTGAATAAAGACTAAGAGCAAATGTAGACAGAAGAAAGCAATTGATTCTAAGCTCTTCACAATCCATACCTTTCACACCACTGATGTAATAAACCTGGCCCAAATGCAGTCCAAATTCTGCTGACAGCCAGATTGTGGTTACTGTTTTGTTGGAGTCAATGAGAGAATGAGCAAAAAAATGTGCTGCTTCTTCAAAAATAATATATTAAACTCCTGGATAAAGCAACATAATCTTAAAATGTTGCACCCCAAGGTGTAACAATCGATTCCAAGTGGAAAGGATTAAATTGCATTATGTCATTGTCTGTAGCCTATTGTTTTGTTAGTTGTCACTCACCCTTGGCAGTCGGCCAGCTGAAAACAAAGCCAGAAAAGAAGAAAGAGTTTCTATGCAACAACAGGGGTGTGTTTGTAGAAGTCACAGGGTCAGATACACAGCAGATAGTAACGGATCATATATGTGAAGATGCTTTTTTTTCTTTTTTACACAATCTCTCAGAATTTACACTTCTCTAATTTTCCCATTTAATGCATCGAGGGGGGAAAATAAATCCAAACATGCTTTGGAACAATAATCTAAATGAAAACTCAATTCAAAATAGCATGTAATTTCTTAACAGGCCTATAGAATCACCATGTAGTGTAGACTGAGGACTGACAGAGCTCATAGCCCATCAGCTGCTTGTCTTCTCTGATTTCCTCCTTAGACTACAAGGTACAGTTCATTTGAATAATCAGCCTGGTCATAGAGAGACACACACACAGACTGATTGAGCTGCACATCCAATTTCCAAAGGAGGCCCCCTGTTTATTTATTTGCTATATGTCTGAACTTGCCTGTCTTGATGTTGTTGTGTTGTAAGTGAGTCAGAAAGGGCCCCTTAATTAAATCACTGGGCTCTCCTGTTGGATTGAGACTATCCCACAGATCTATGGTAATACACAGCCTGGGGTGGAGGACAATTCCATTAGTGGAGGACAGGGGCTGGGGCTGATAGCGCTACAGATAGAGCCCCCTCCCGACTACAATACCTCCTGGCTGAGCGGCCGTTAGCTGCTGTTTAGCCTGAAGTTTTATAGAGCTAATCAGCGCTGTTTGCACAAGTCGGAATACATTTGGCCCCTTGCACCCGAGTGGTAGACGTACAACAAAGTATTGTGAAAGAGATCTAAGCGCCTTGGATACACAGGATGATTTATATCATTGAGAGAATGCAGCAGAAGAGCTGATCGAAGGGAAACTTTCATACAGTGTAGATCTTATTACCCACTGACTACATTTTTCAACTATGACCTACATTACTTACTGTAGTTGTGTGCACATGTTTTTTTTTGTGCAGGGAGGGATTAATCTTGCTATTTTAAGGTAGACAATGTTTGTGTGCCTTGCCCAGATCTTTGAACATTGCCATATTCCCAGGCCTCAGGAATTACCTCGGTGCACATAATAAACAATGATTGTCAAAATTGTGGCCCAAGCTGAGAATCAAAACTTTCCCTTTTAATTTATTTATCACCATTTAGGCCTTGCACAGATTCTACGTATGAAATTCGGGTCCACGCAGTTAGATTTAGAATAAATGCATTAGCTTAAAGTTAGGCCAAATGAGCGAGCAAGAATAGGCCGGGCTTTGGTAAAGCCTGTGATGAAAGCCCACCACTCTTGTTTTTATTGTCCACTCTCCACCAGGCGGAGTGTTGTGGGAACTCTAGAGACTTGTGGCTGCTGTTTGATCACACTATGGGAGTCTGACCTGTCACTAAGTGGTGGCAAACATGGCCCACACACAGAGCGGCGGGCGTCTATGCATGTATATGTGTGTATGTGTTTCCCACACACAGCGCCACATACCTCACCAGAGGAGGCAGGTCACAACGTGTCAGAGTGTTGAGGATTCATAATGGCCATTTAGCCTTCAACAGCTAATATCAGCACTGCTGATTTACAAGGAATTGAGCTGTTCAGTCTCTGGACTCTGGAGCTGTTTCCATCAAACCTGTTTGACATTAGTTAGTATGAACATCCAGCACAAAACATAAACACACACACACATATATTATACAAAATAATAACAAAACAAAACAAAAAATATTCAGAAGTTGTTCCGTGTACTGGGGTTCATACCAGCATATACCATACATCCATCCATTTTAGGGAGCTTGGCAATAGCTCTGGTAACCAGCTGTTTGCAGCCAGGCAGAGTGACAAGGGACCGGAGGGAGCCATTGAAACTCCGGGGACTGTGACAGAAGCGTGGTGACAAGTGACGACGATGCCCTCCCTCATGCATGTGTCCCTAAACTGCATAGGACAGCACCCTCAGCAACAAGACAAGACGCAGATCACGCACCATGCTAAGCTAATAGCCACGATACGCTCTGCTGAAGTCAGCTCTGATAGAGGTTTGGCTCCGTGATCACTGCTGATAGGGGAACAATGTGACTCGGACATGTCGGATTGCATATAAAGAAACGGCAACTTGTCTCTTAAGTTGTTTCTGAATCCCTCAATAAACACTGCAAAAGAAATTTGGAAAAAACTCCAAAGTTAAATAAATGAAAATCAGCGTCTTGAGATGGCAGGCTGACCTCAAATTCACCTTCAAAACAAATCGTTTGGAAGTATCACTCGGGTGCTAATGGAGACTGTGTTTGGTGTTTGTTGGATCTATTTGTGGCAGAGGCAAAGTGTACACAACATGCACATGAAGGTTTGACTAGACACACATGTACAAAAATTCAATTTTGGCTCTCAAGGCTTCGATTCTCTACACAGAAACGGACACACACTACTTGCCCCTGTGACCAACTGGAGACCAGAGAGACATTGACATGACCCAGATAATAGGCCCAAAGTCTTGCCTCCACAATTTGATCAATTTGCAGTTTCCTCACAATCGCAGGCACCGCGCTGTCCCCCGCAGCCACTGTGTAGCCCCCCACGCCCAGCCATGCAGACGCATCGCTGCTCGCCACAGCAAGATGCTCTGCCTTTCTCCCCTTTTCCCCCCAAATCACTGCTAAGCCTGCCTGATGCCTGCTGCCGGGACACAAACGTGCTCTTGCTCCTGTCATCTCTAAGCAAGCACAGACAGGAGGGAAAAAGGCTGACAGTTTGTCTTGTACCATATGCCACGTGGCAGCAAAGCCTAACTGATATGGCCAGAGTTTGGGCCACAGCCAAGGGCTCTTTTTTTTTCGATCCATTTTATTTTCTTCTTCCTTGCATGTGCCTGTGTCTCGGGTGGAAATGTGAAATAAAATCACAGTGTGCTCCTCACCAGCGCCGAACGCTGCTTTGATCGTTATTTGAGCAATATTTTCGACAGTACTCACCGTGGGCCTGAGGAGGCCACTGATCACTTAAATAGCCTCCCCCCTCCCCGCTCATGTGCTGAGGAGTCTCCACGAAAATGCCCTTTTGCGGGAAAAAAAAAGTAGGAAGTAATTATCCCCTCCTTCTCTTTGCCTCAAGAGATGTTAGTCTTCAGTAAGGCCTTTCAATCATGAATTTACCTGTGGGGTCTTTCCAAACACAGCACCACGACTGGAATTTAAGCGAGGTTGTCAATAGTTTAGAATTCACTTGTACGTTAGGCTTAGTGAAGGCAAATTTGTTGCTGTTGATGTGTTTAACCCTTGAGGTAACACCGCTTTGATCATTTTCCTCAGTGTAGAAAGACGGGTCAAAGACCCCCAGGTGACCGACAAATTTCAGAAAAATAAGGTGTTTACTTACAGCTACAAGCGGTGTACAGAATAGAGGTGTGTGTGTGCTGCTTGGTCTGAAATTATGGGAAATTACCAAATAACTGAATTTGATATCCTGCTTTGTGCTCAGGCAGAAGAAATGTGCTTTCTCACTATGGAAGGATTATGTGGGAGAAACATGACTGGAGTCAGGGGTGATGAAGGACACACTGTCATCTTCAACACTGATTCAAAGATTAAATATTTTTGACATATTTTTCTTTCCAAACAATGAAAAATTATTATATTCAAAATGCTTCAACCAACTCTAACTTCTTCACAAGAGGAAAATGTAAATATGCTGTTGTCGGAATGTGATTTTGCAGTAAAAAATATTTACAGTTATATTTGTTTTTAATAAAAAAGTAAAAGAATATGCAGCAAGACGGATCATTCTTGACATTGGAAGGTAGTTTAGTAATTTTAAAAAATGGTACCGTCTAACATAGTTTATCATATTTCAACACTTTATTGCCTTAAAGAAACAGTTTTCTGTGAGAATAAGCACCATCAGTGTGCTGGCATACAGTATGTCTCACTGGTGCAGTTGCTGTCGTTGCAAAATAAAGGATAAAGTTGCACTTTATGGTGAAAGCTGATCTCAATTCACAACAGCAATGGAGACTTCATGTACTTGACCCTATCGTGCCATCATACTTGATATAATCACGCAAAACAAATACGCTTCTGTTACAGACATTCCTCAATTATTCAGCTTGTGAATTCTCCATGTTCCAGTGCCTCCACAGAGAAACCTGTTTCAGTGTGAAGTGGCTGTCAGTCATCACCTCCGTGGTGCGTCATCCTTTGTAGCGGCTAAACCCTGGAACTGGGACAAAAATGGTCACCTTTTTTCGCTCCGATGGTTTCTTTGCCGCCTTCGCCGAGGCCGTTGCAGGAAGCTAGGGAGAAAACCAGGAGCTGATGAAAGAAATGACAGGTGAGTGGCAGACGCCTTGAGGAACACGAGGTTGGGAGGGGGTGGGAGAGGGCAGAAGCGTGCTAGCCGGTGAGGAGCAGCGCAGCGCCACAGGTGAAAAGATGCCAAAGCAGAAGACTGACGCACCTTGACGGCACTGACAGGCAGCGGTGACACAGGTGAGGGCCAGTGTTGGGAGACCTTCCAGGCTCCTCACAGCTGCTTCTTTTGCTCCTGTCAGACAGACGCACGGAGAAACACCCTTACACCAGAGACAACGCAATCATGTGTGTTCATTTTCACAAACACTTGGTGCTCAAACAGTTTTTTCAAGCCAATGCGACACGGACCAGAAGAACAACTCTTAATTCGAGCTTTCTTTATTGTTGCAGCAAATGATTTGTTTCATGATGCACTAATTTTTCAAAAGGCTCTCCAAATGTCCAGACACTAGTCGCTGTGTTTTTTTTTTGTACTTTCTGTGACCTTTTAGCATACTTATTAGATTTATAACCAACAGAATTATTGGCTATGGACCAGCTTCTACCACTTCTTCTCCTTTTGCCACTCCTCCTCATTTCCACCCTGACTCCCACAACTCCATAACAGGTGTCTGATGTGACCACTGATCGTGTCAGTCCCTCCTCCTCCTCATTTAAATCTCTATTTTCTCCTTCTTCTACACCCATTTTAATTCAATTTTATGTTCATTTAACTCCAGATAACCCTTACATTAAGCTTTGAATTGTAGCCTTCCTTCTTCTGAATTAACTAACATGGAGCCATCTGCCAGTGAACATTATGCTGTATAGATAAAGTGTTTCCTTTTGCTCCTGAAGTCTTGTCTTTGGTTTTCATTGACCCGTAATAAAAACATGAAACACATAATTAATGCCATAATTTCAATCATTTTACAGTATTATGAGTAAGGCAGGATTTAAAACTGTAACAGGAAAACAGTAGAATACAAAGAAAGGGTGACACCCAGGTTATCTACGAGATGTTTTCCACTGCAGACACTTACAGACTGTTTCAGGGCAGCCTGAACCTTTATGCATATTCCAGCCACAAGAAATTAACCTGTAGAACCTCTTTAAGGACCATTTTCTGTGGAAAAATACCTGCTCCAGTCTGAGCGGCTCTGAAAAACTGCTGTGTGAGGCTCATAGTGAATTGGTTACACGAGAGAGGACAACGCTAAAGGGTTAAATTCGAAGAAAACAACGAGTGCCTTTTTGTGCCCTTTCAATACCTTCATTGAGAAGCTGTCTTCTTTTTTTAAGATTGCTATCAACATTGCAAAATTTGTCATTTGTCATTTTTCGTTTATAGAAATGGAATTGTGTTCAGTAATGACTATCTGTCATTGTTGTGGCACTGAAGCTGTTGGATCTTATAGAAACCAATTAACACTCAGTTGTATTAGTAGGAGCCAATAGTTGTGTAGTCATTTGTTCCACCCTAAAAGGTAAATAGTTTTTGTTTTTTTTTTGGTTGTTTTTTTTTTTTTTTTCCCAGCTGAGGCAGCAGGTTGCTGCAAGAGCTGCAGGTTCTGTAAGTACTTGTTTGTGGTGTCTTTTGAAACATGTTCCAACTAATTTATCAGGATGAATGACGACGAAAAATAAACTGATCAAGTTTTCAACGGCAAGTTTTGTCTTGGACTTTAATTCTCAGAACACAGGACAGCGCATCGTCAGATCATCCAGGTGTAGCATCTAAGAGGCCTCGAGTGTTGACTTAGCTTCCACAAAGTCAATCAAAAACCTGAAACACCTGACTAGATTGATTCCTACTTTTATACCACTGAGCGCTAACCAACTCCTACATCTTCCGCAATCCGAATGAAGCATTCAAACACCTTGGGCCTGCCCCTGCGGTGAAAAGTCTCCTAACTGTTTGATTGCAGAAAAACACATAAATCATGTTTAACGACATCAGCAGAGCTGGAGAGAAAGACAGCATAATATATTTTTTTTAAATGTTATCTTACGTACAACAGCTGAAAGGTGTTGAAGACACAGTTTGACATTTTGAGAAGCACACTTCTTCATTTCATTGCTACAAGTTAGGCTGGATGAGAAGGTCAATACCACACCTTTGTCTGTATGTTAAATATGAAGTTACCTTAGTGTCGCATGAAGATTGAAAACAGGGAAATATTTAATGTGCTTCTGTCTGAAGGCAGCAAAATAAACCTATTCGACCTTTTACAGCTCAGTATTTTATATTCATGTAGATACATATTTATTAGCAGGTTATATTGTTTCTATATCTATAAAAATAGTTTTTGTAATAACAGAATTTGTGATTTAACATAGGCACAAATAAAAAAAGAACATGCACCTTTTTCATTCCAGCCATTGCTTGAAATTCAGAACACTACCAGCGACTGTGAGTGACTGTTTTTCAGCAACTTAACTGCAAAAGCCAATTATCAAATCATTAATCAATGATTTATTCATTTGCTCTCTAAAGTGTACTTATTCTAAGAAAAACAATGGAATGAATAGACCTGCGTCAACATTAGACTGCATCTAAAAACAATGATGCTTTCCTCTATGCAGATGCAAATATAAATTAATCAGAAGTGTGATATTTTATTCAGGGGCCCTCAGTAGCGAGCGGGGCACCCATCTGTCTCTCATCTCTCTAGTCAGCCATGTCATGTGGGACCGAAGTGAAAGAGAAAGAGAGCCTCTCTGATTGCCTGCCACCCAGCTCTTTGCTGCTGCTCAGTGTCACTGTCACTCACTCGCCGTTCTGATGTGTTCGTTCCTCTCCACCTCCATTAACGTCACTCTTGGTCGACACGCTTGCAAATGGAAAGGCGTACAGGCCCACGAAATAGGGAAAAGGGAAACGCTTCATTTATGTTTTAGGTGTACATGGACACTTGAAAGGCAGAACAAGAGTGATATTTTTTTCCTTTAAGTAGGCTTGCATTAACAAAAATGTCTCCGAATTTCAGCTTTGAAATGTTATTCTTGTACCCAGAGGACCTCGTCTACGAGTAGAATCCTCCAGTTGTTATCGTAGCGAGCTAGCTTAGGCCCCACTGTCAGTGAATGGAGATGTTTCAAGCAGACTGACTGACGAGGTGCATAAGAGGTCAGCATTCTAAAGGGGAGACCAATTGGATCATGACCCATGAGGGACAGATATGGGCAAGGGATTTAGCCTCAAAGGTCACACTGGGGTCAAGGAGTGGCTTGCATTCCAGACTCCTAATCCTTTCCCTGCAGTCTGGAACGCTGGCCTTCACTGCTCTACACATGCATGCCCACACACACACACACACACACACACACACACACACACACACATCTCTCTCAGACTCTGTGCAGAGTCTCTGTGCCCTGCACACATACAAGCACAGGTTGTGGTGATAGATTGGATAAAGAGACTTAAAATAAATGTATGCCTCCTGGCTCCAAGTCCTCCTCCTCCTCTGTGCTTTATGTAGAGAAAGCAAAGGCTTTGGGTGCCCTCGCCACTCATTTCCCTGACCTTCCACTTAACCACCCACCTCCTACCAGGCCATCGAGTTTCCCCCATGCTGAGATACTGGAGTGCCGGGGATGTAGGTAATTTGTCAGGGTGACCCAACCCCCCCGTTTCATGCTTGTGTGTGTGTGTGTGTCAGCAGACAGGCATGTGTATGCACCAGAGGCTTTCGCTGGGAATCTCTCAGACTATGTCGCCAGTCCAGGCGGTCCCAGACAAGTCAGTGTCAGTGGCTGCGTAAGCAATGATCACGCTAGTAGCCATGAATTGGAAGCTGGGGCATCCTGGTCATGGCAATCCAAGCCATCCATCAGCCTGATGTGACATGCGTGCCACCCAACACCGTGCAGCATTCGTGCCCCCTCCCCTAAACACTTATGCATTACACGCAGAGACACAGTATACAATGGAGACTATACACCCCAGATGATTTTGGAAGCTGAACCTGTTGACATTTACTCGGTAAATCCCACCACACACTCAAAACACACAAACACAGTGACAAACTTGCTCCATCTGTGGCTTGGACTGCACGTAGCGCAGCAGTTTGTGTGTAGCAAAGCACACCAAGCATCAGCCTCCTACTGTTTGTGTTGGAGTGGCCCTCCTGCTGGGCCTTCAATTGTACCCCCCACCCCCCCTCACTTCCTATCCCACTACACTATACCAAACAGAGCCAAATAAAACACAGGCTAACATAATGTAGCAGCATGTCAGTGGTGGGCCCTGGAGCAAGGCTGAAACATGAACCACTCTGTACCAGCCATTAGGACAAGAGTTAAAGCAGCTACGATTTCTTCCAAGCCATACAGCCCTTATGTTGTCCAGTGCAGGGCCTGTGTGTGTGCTAGCAGCAGATTGAGTGATGTATCCTGTGTGGCTGTGGTGTGCTCAGTGGGCCAGAGAGAAGTCCCAGCAGGGGACTACTTCTCCCTTGGCCCCGAGGCCACTGCACTTCATCAATCTCTCCACTGGGAAAGGCCTGCCACTGGATCTCAAGACTGTTACACACGCGATGGAGCTCACACAGAGAGGAGGCAAAACCAGACAAATCAAAACCAAAGAAGTATATAGAATAAAAGGAGCATGGTGGAGTCTTTAGAACATCAAGCCAAGCCATTAAGAGAAGTTTAGCTCTTGTATTTTGTAACCTTCATTCATGAAGATGTTTTTCATTCAACAGTCACTCTGAGCAACACCTATCAAGGTGTTATCTTAAAGCACTTTGGGTTGCCAGATGGCCTGAGAGCAATTTTGAAATTCTACTACAGTGTCAGTCATTAGTCCGTTGCTTTTGTTGGATGCTTTTGAAAACTATTTATTCAAATTAATTAACTCTCCTACTTCTTTCTTGTCATATCTCAGGCAGACAGATTATTTTAATCAGTCAGTCAAACTATATTTGTATGGCAGGTGACTGATTTGTAGATAATGAGACAGAACAAGTAGAGAGAAAAATCTGTGAAGAATTTATTAGCAAATCACAAATCTTCCTTATATGTTATATGTTCTGATTCTTGAAATCATCAAGTATTTTTTTTGCAGTCTGATGTGGTGTTAATTCTCCCACAGTTGGTAGGAAGGCCTGTCGTATATGAAAGGGCGTGGTGGAGGAGAATTCTGGCACTGGATCCCATAATTGGCTGGAATGACACTGATGAGGTGAGAGCTGATAGCTGCTGTATTCAAGCCTCACTCTTCTCACGGTAAGATATACTTCTGTCTGC